CGCCGCGGCGGCGGGAGCAGAAGGCGCTGCGCGAAGGCGCCGGCCAGCCCCTTCCAAGCCCGGCGGCGGTTTCCGCGGCAACCGGGAAGGGCGAGCCCATTGTGACCGCTTTCGCCCGCTGGCCGGCTCAGCTGCGGGGTCGGGCGATGGAGAAGGCGCCGGAGGGACCCCTCCCCGCCGTGACTTTCTTCCAGCCCCGCTCGCACCAAGTGCTGGTGCTTTTCAGGTCAGGGCGGGGGTCGGTGGGGCAGCGGCAGCCCTAGCCCTGACCCTGACCCTAAGCCCCGGCCGAGCGGGCGCTGGCGCTTAGCGCAGACCCCTCGGCCGCCGCGCCTCTGCGCCTCGCGGACCCCGTCGGGCTGAAGAAGGGAGGAGAGCGCTGCCGCCCCGAAGTGCCAGAGAGAGGCTTTCTAGCACACGGGCGTGCGCGTGAGAGAGAGAGTGTAAAAATCAAAAGGCTCCCTGCGGAGGAGGGTGCCAGATGGGAGTCCCAGCCAATCCCTTGGCTGACTTGGGGGAGAAAGCAAAATCCAGTTGGGACTTGGATGGGAGACCACCGGGTGATCCGGGGGCTGCCATTGAGAGCAGGAAGCTGCGAAGCTGCTTTCAGAGGAGGAGGGAAATTCAGCCAGGCTCTGCTGGGTGGAACATGGGGGTCTTGCACTTTTGCTCTTGACAATATCTTCCGACCTTCCTCCAGCAGCCTCCAGGCTTCTCTGCCACCCGTCCACTCTCCCCCTGACAACCCAAGGGACCGAACTGAACTGAGTTAAACCCCAAGGAGTATCAGGGGGAGTTCTTTATTGTTTATTTAATAAATATTGAGCATGCCGAAGCCCTGTGGGTAGCCAGATACACGGGCACGTACACCCCCTGGTCCCCACTCCCCATATTTTGCGTCTGAGTTTTCAATATTTATGAAACAAACTCCCCAGGTCTCTCAGGTAGTTGGCCAGGCCTCGTCGGGCATCAAAGATGCTCTGCACCTGAAGAACTGCAGACCCCCGTCTGGGCCAGGCTGGCGGCTGCCTCCGCGGGGGCCTTCAGGGCTCCTGGATTTGGTGCCACGTTGCTTCCTGCTGCCCTGGCTTGGATGCCCTCGCTGCACCATCACGTGGCAAACAGAACCAGCTCTCAGAGTTATTCCTGACGTGGAAACTCAGCAGCAGTTAAAAGTTAAACGGCGGGATTTGTCTGCAGCTATCAGCAGGTGTTTTTTTGGGGGGGTGGTGAGAAAGTGAGAGATGGGAAGACCACAGGCTTTCCTCTGGGCTGGCTTTGGGAGAGGGGCAGGAAGCAGGGCACAGCCACCCCTCTCCCCAACTGGAGGCTGATGTTTTTCTTCTGCTCCTGCGCAAGAACGAGTGGGAACAGCTTGGGCCAAACTCACGCTCCTGGATTTTAGCCCAGGCTGTGGGGAGCTCTTGGGATGGCTGGGAAAGAGAGACTGGTGCTGCCCTTCTAACCGGCTGGCTTCCTCCTCTTCAGTCAGCAGAACTGCAGCGAAACTGCTCTGAAGACTTTTCTGCCCAAAAGTCACCTGGCTCAGGTGATTATCCGGGACAATGTTAGTGTCCAGCGGGTCCAGGATGTGAAGGTAGGTCTTTGGAACCTCTTGCATGAATTCTGGTAGTGTCAGGAATCGGAGCATAGAAGAAATTCTGGGCCAGACCTCTTTCCAGAGGTGCCAACCGGATGCCCAAGGAAAGAGGGTCTGAGAATCACACGGCTTCTGTCCATGTCTTCCCATAACTGAGGCTCAGAGACAAGTTGACTTTGACGGCAGGGATTACATTGTTAGATTGGTAAAAGTCAATTGGTCCCCTAGACTAGGTTAAAATGCAATCAAGCAGTTTGTGGATTAACCAACTGGGGGAACCCAGCCCCGCTTTTAGTATATTGTCTCAATCAGGTCCTCCCATTAAGCCATAAAAAGACTTGCTTTGGGGGGCAAAGAAATTACACGCCACACAGCAGTTAGGTTTTGTTAACCTGGATTTAGGGTTTACCGTGTTGTACAAACCAAGTGTTGTTTAGCCAAATGGAGCCTCCATGGGTACAGGCAGTATATCGCTCAGAGCCAGAATTCCAGGGATAAATGGGGCACATCTCTCCTCTTCATGACCAACTGGGGAATGGATCCTGCTGGAAATTGTGGGGCTTTGGGTGGGCTTCAATCTGCTCTAATGCTTTTGACTCTGAGATGGCTCATGAAAGGTGGGTTCACGACAGCAGCTGAGCGTGTACGTTTGTATGCACACGCAGAATACATATATGCACTGCCATACCAGTTGATACACAGACTTAATTTATGCTTAAGCCGTGGTTTAAGTAGTGGAGTATACTCCATAACCCCTGATCAGCCAACAAGAAAGCTTGGGCTCCCAAACAGCAAGGCCAAGATTTGGGCTCCCTTATCAGAACTGCAAAAATCCAAGCAACATCTAGAGCAGTGGTTTTCAACTTTGGCAACTTTAAGATGAGTGGGCCGGAACACCCCAAACATTCCCCACCCACAATTCTTGCTGGGCGGGGGGGTCGATTGGCTTTGCGACTCGGCACT